AGCGCCATCTTCTGCATCGCACAATTTGAGAAAGTTGTCCATCTTAACCTTATCATTCAAATTTCGTAGTTGAACGACGGACGATTTTCAAAAGTTTCACTGCTTTACTGCCTGAATGAGCTTGACCAGTACTGGTGAAGAGCTCCAAAAATCGAATAAGTCCGCCACAAATAATTTGTTACATCAAGGGTATCAGCCATCAACACCATATGTACGTAAAGGACACTGACAGCGCTACAAGTTAAATAATATAAATGCAGAACAAGTTTAATTTAGACAAGAGAAAAAGCAGTATCGAGAACAATGTTTCTGAGCCCTCACCATGTTTAAAATAACATTATGAGAGGGGTCAATCATCGCGAGATTCGTATACAATGTCGCGACCCAGTTCGTCAGAGAACTCGTACCACAATTTGCTCACGTCGATCGCTGGGAGGCGATGCTTCTCTGTTGGAGTGCTGTACACCAGTGAAAAATGCTTCTTTTGAAGACAATACTACAATCACTGCCAGTAAAAGCACTGTCAGAAATGGAGGATTTCTGGACCATCCAACGAATCGGCAACCAAAACAGCAAGCATAAAAAATAGCGTAAACAGAGTCCACCCCGTGAATAAAGCACTGGAACCCCTTTCGAAACCTTTATTTACTCCTAAAAAGGTTCTGGACGCGGGGTCAAGATTGAAAAAAGACAGAAGGATCAAGGTTTCACCACTGGACAAACCCTTTTTGGGCATGCATTGTACTTCCACAGAACCGTAGCCACTTAACGAAGGCGATGTGGCTCAAACAATGGATTGCTGGTCTAAATGATGTACGAAATGGTGATATTTTCCTGGCAGGAAGATTTGATTCCAATTTGCCGTGCCCGGCAAAACGTTTGGTTGGCCTCGGCGGCCGATCTTAAACTGATCCCCGCACCGCCAGGTCGTGAGCGTGCCTCATGCTTCACCTCCCCCGCCTCCGGGTTCAAAGTAACAATCACACACAACAAAGCGAAAACTGAGAGTTTGGAATGACGGCGAAGTAAGCAACAGGACTTTAGATGCCCAATTCATTCAGGACAGCCCTAGAACGTATCTGTTCCGAAGAACCAGAGCATATTACAATAGATTCGTGAGCCAACGTAGATTTTCTTTTTCTGGTTGCTAACCTAGTTGGCGAAACCATTCGACCGCGCATTTTGTCTTTTACCCTGACAAAGACAAAGGCTTAAAGCGCCAGCATCAGAGTCGCTAAGGGATTGTCTAGCATAGAAGACACAGCCTTCACTCAATATGAACCTTGGTTAGGAAAAAGAGGTGCTCGAGTGGTCCACTGCTTCCCGGCCAATCACGCAACGCCCCATTTCAGGGTTTCCAGAAGTCTTTATTAATTAAGCATTTTATGCCCACGCGCGGGCAAACTGGCTGCTCAGCCCCCGCACTTGCAATATTCTCACAATTTTTCTCTATTCCCAGGTTTGACCTACTATTACTTAGCATCGCCACAAAACCAGGTTTCATTGCACTTCAGTAATTCAGCGATTCCGCGCCAGCAGTAATAAATCACCACGATTCAAATAGGGCCTGCAAGTGAGTTCATTACGAAGTGCACTTGGACAAGCCAAAAATGTGTGATTTGAATCAGCTTGAGCACCTTCTTCGCAGTAATTAACTCTTAGTACTCCACGATTACGAAGTTACTACTTTACAATATCAGTGCGGTGGATTTCAACCGGGTTATTGCTAAGGCATGTCCACACAAATGGTTGAGCAGTAGTGATAAGGAAATTTATTCAGAAATTTCCATGAATGGAACCATTAGGAAATGTAGAAAGTTATTACTGTAAAAGTACTATACACTGCTCAGATAAATCTGTGCAATAGCACTAGTAATTCTGTTACAATGTAGCACGTATCAGTCGTGCAAAAAGGATGCGAGAAGAGAATGAATGCATTAGCGGCGAAACAAATCATTACAGTATTTTCTGAATAGCCAGCAAAACGGACTGTAAAACCCTGGATGGAAATTCTGGCACCCCGCGCAAAAAATTAGGAAGCATTATTATGGAGCGGGGCAGGAGGAAAAGAAAAAAACCTCAGCACACGTATGGCATCGCCATACGGTCGGTCGACTCAATGGCTGTTGGGCACAATTGACGCATTGAAAAATTGGAGAGAGGGGGGCGTTCAGGCGGGGCAAGTATGGGGAGGTGGAGGGCCAGCTTTCCATTTGAAGCCATAGATCTATTCCAGGAAAAATCACAAAGTCCGCAACAACTCGCTTGTCTCCACCACGCTTTTCTGCATACCGTTTCCATTTGTTCATGTGAAACAGCAAAACTATGTATTACAACTGAGTTAGTGAGAAAGTAATCGGAAAGCCTTGAAACCATCATGTCTTCAAACACTCAAAATCAAAGCACAGCATAGCCTTCTTCAGAGTTCAAAACCATCAGATCTTCAAACTGGCAAACACGTGGTGAAGACCAAATAGCCTGACCATTAGGAGACGGAATCCGTACTTAGTCATCGAAAAACTTGTCAAAGCATAGTAGTCGCGTGGCTAGCCTTTGGGAAGCGGGCACTTATAGGACTCTTCTTATTTGATATCTAACTAGAATCGCCGGTAAGCCTCATCCAGATGCGAACAAGACCGTAAGGAGAGATCCGGGCCGTGGGGAAAGCATTCGTCATAACTGGTAACTCACGGGCGGTTACCCCGCTAATTCTATTCAGATGACGTTACTCCAATTTCGTTCAAGCAGTCCTCTTGAATGCCATTCCAACTCGCCTGCCCGCCCTTCGCCACCACCGTGTTATTAGTCCCTAGGTCAGCTCTGCTTGGCGTCCATACGAAATGGGCCTTCCTCTGGTAAGCCGCTCAGCTAGCAAAGATAGGGTGAACACTCGAGTGCCAAAACAAGACCTTGTTGAGAAAGACGGTGAACCCAAAATTATTCGTGCCCGCAGCATCGCTCGTTTCTTCTCATTTGAAAGGTTATGAAAATAATACTTAAATTCCTTGCCTCCTCTTAAAAATTCTATTTTTCTCCAATATAGAGATTAACTGCAGAGTAAAAAACATAAAAGAGAAGAAAATATACTAATCGAAATCACTTAGAAGTCTTGTGTCGACGACGCGAAAACAACTTTATCAAGTACTCTCAAGTGACCAAGTCAAGTAACTCGAATCAAGTGAGAAACACTTCGTTTTTCCGTTGATCGAGTAGTACTACTAGTTTACTGCTCGACTATCAAACAAGAGATGAAGAGAATTAAGTAGTGAGAAGGATTGTGTAAACACCGAAGAATTCAATTATGAGTGGAGGTATCTGATTCACAGTTTGGAAATGAGACGTTAGTTTTCAAGTAGGTCTATTGAACGCTGATAAGCCAGACAAGTAGGTTACTAGTAAAAAGAAGGATCTGAGAGCGTCACATCGTAACAAAAACATTTGCGTACCCGGCGAACCGGTCAAATAGAGCTCAGTTACACTGAAACAGCTTCGAGCTAGACACACGCACACACAGCTGCCAACACACATGAACAAGAGCAAAATTGTGACTCGGGTAAAACGATCACGCGAACCTGGGGCAACCCCTGGACTACGAACTAAAGCGAAATCATTGACACAATGGGTAGGACTCCTAGACATGGCTGGGTGGGGCTAGACGAAAGCAACCCATTAGTGACGAGGATCCACTCACTGAATGCTTCTCTCTTTTCATGATTAACCTCATTACGCCTTTATTCATTGTAAAAAAAATAGATTAAGGGATGGATTATGGGGGCGAATATAGCTCGAAATAGCCTGTGGAAAGCAATATAGAGCCGATGACGATAATGCCTAATGCAACTGCAAAGCCAGATAACCAAAAAAAACCCCGTTGGCGTCATGTTAACAGGAAGACTGGAATTCATTAAATAAATCGAAGTGCTCTAAGCTAATGCAATCTCCGTCAGCCCTCGTTGGCCCATTGATCGAGCTATAATACGTATTCTAAGTAAAGTACTAGTATAAGTAAGAATGTAGGTATTACAGATTCATTTCCAAGTGCATTCGAACGCACATAATCACTTCTATAAGGATATCCTACAATTTACATTTAATATAATTACTAGTAAATACCTACAAACATACGCAACGTATGATCATATAACAATATGAGGAATGAAATAATATTACACTGAATCAACTAAATGACAAGAAAAGATATAACTAAATGTATCATATCAGTACTTCATGGGTGAAATGTGATACGAAGAGATCAATCGGAAAAAAGCCGAGCACCGACAACAAAGGCCTCTTAGGGGTGGAAAATGACACGGAAAAAAGCTGCGCGATGCTCGTCTGGACAGAATTAGGCTCGGTTCGGCTTGAGAGGGGCTAATAAGACCTGAAGAATCTTGTCAAGTAGAAATGAAGCTCCTGGTGTATAAGGATGTCCACAGGAGACATCGACGACGATCTACGATAACCAACAAAATGCCCCACCAAGCCGAACTGCGCCCAGAATTATTCATGAAATAAACACAAGACATTGAATGAGAGAGAGGGAGGGAGGGAGCGGGGGTGGAGTTGAATGAGTAAATCCAAAGCGAAGCCACCCGAGAGAGCCTTGAGCAAACATAGCCATTATCATGATACTCTATTACAACATCAGGGGATCACGTTGTCATTATAAAAATAGTGAAGTGAAGGATTGAGAGAGAAGAGGAGGAAATGATGAGCGCGAGTTGCTGTGAGACTAGACTATTTAGCAGACATCGCTGTATATACCCGCAGTAGTTAGAGAATACCGCAATGCAGTTAGCTTGCTAATGAAGCGTCGTGTATGCGGTTGACGGAAGTCAGCAAAGAAGAGAGCGTAGTCGTTGACCGATGAAGCCCTCTGACGAGAAGGGTCCGCTCGATACGACAAGAGCTCGCCGACCGGGCGGCTTCCTTCCTTCGTTTAGACGATAATCTCTCGTATTACACGACATCCATTTTCATCACATTCACTCTCGTTACTCTGTCCATTACCTAAAAGTTCAGACAGATTCAGAAATGTTTCGACACACTTTGTGGTAGCCTTTGTGGTGGGTATCAGAGTACGCCGTACGCGGAAAAACCCCAATGGCATGGTACCTATTAGGGGAGGGATGGTAAAGGTACGGTATGGGATAAGGAAGAGATAGTGCGGATGAAATAAGGCACTGCAGCTGTCAGCGATTCATCTGTGAAGAGAAGGTGCCAAGGGAACGTCGGCAACGCTTTCAAAAGGGCCTCTCTAGCAATTGTACTGGCAAAAAGCCAAAAGATCACGTGGTGGAGGAAGTCCAGTCGGCTGATTCCTTGTAATAAACCATATGAGGCCATAAGAGAGACAAGAGCATACATTTCATGCAGCTTTATCGGTAGTATAGCTTTTGGCTCAAAGCGGACTTTGACGGCGGAGTCAGGGGCGGAGTCACTGGGAAAGAGGAGGTGCCACTGAAGCAGCATTGCGCCCCAACTCCCTTACCTTGCAAGTTTCCGCTGCGAGACTGGCACAAGGTTGCCCATTGCGGACCACACCATCCTCCCACACAATCATTTGCATTTTCATAAGCCATGGCGGATCGTTTTTTATAGGCAAACTGTACATTCACCTCCGTAGCTATTTCGCAGTTGCAGAAACGCGCCATTTTCTCCGCTCAAAAATGCGCAGGAGCGGGGCTGAGGGTAGTTGATAACCGAGTTTCTCCCATGCTTCCCGCGCTGCCAGCCGCACGCCTGGCCATAACCAAACGCACTACGTGTGTGTGCTATCTCACTTCTAAATGTTCTCTACCGTTAGTTCCTGTTCGCTGCGGGACCTTGGTATCGACGCAAGTGTTTGAGAGGAGAACTACGGCCATGGAACCATTTACCTCGCACATGGCAAGAACTTTCTTCTGAGGTGAGTGTGGTTTGTCTGAAAGCTCTGCACTGCACGCCATCGACATGATTAAAACACATCATGGGGTCGTATTTGGTCCCTGTACACAGTGAAGGAGGGTAGTAAGTGGCTTGGTCAATGACGACTTGGAGACCATCGACTGTTGATTTTCCCCGTTTCGGGCCTGCCATATAATCCTCCTTCGCCACATTGGATAGATGAGATCAGCACTGAATCGAGAAAAAAGCGTTTTAAAGACAAGCTGCACGCTCTTCTTAGAGAATCCTGCCACTTGGAGAAGAGAACGAGTTGGCAGCTGTACAAGTTTAGCCTTTTGGCACTTGGGAGGGTGCAGAAATGGGTCCAGAGGCAGGGCATAGCTAGCGTCGTTTTGTCTCCGCCCGCAGGCAAAACGCGCAGACACGCAACGTACCGCACGGCCAACCACGAGCCTAACCATAGGTGGACGCGCTGCACGCGTGCGCCCTCTCACATTTGCGTTCTTGTTTACTTCGAGTGCGCGAGACCTTGATATGGACGCACTTCCTGCACCTTGAAAGGAACGCGCAGACGGAGATACAAACAGCACCGAGTTATCACCACGGCCGTTCTCCTTGCACATGGAAAGGATCGCCTTCGGAGGTGAGCATGCGGTTTGACTTCAATCAATGTGAATGAAACTCGAGGTCAGAAATCGTAGGAAGTATTGTGGCTTCTGCTCTCATGTACACCAACTCCTTCGAACGCCAGTTTTTTTTGGGGAAATTCGGAGGTAGGGTAGCTGAAAAACAGCAGGAGTGAAAAAACAGACGCTCAATAAGTGCGCCCCTATAGCGGTTGGCGCTGGATTCTATTCAGGCGGTGCTTTTCCTCGGTGCACTAGCATGTCGTAATTTGACTAATCCACAAACCATGGAATAAGCCGTGCTTGGAGTCATTTTGATAATGGTCACTTGATAAATCGCCCTGCTCGTCCGTCCAGTTCTCAGCGGCAGTTTCATCACTGAAATGAGTGTCAATTTATGTAGAAGCAGAGGTTCAATTGAATCAAACTTTGGATGAAAGTGTTAAAAATTTCTGGGCGCTGAAACAACCTTTTTTTAAGATGCGCCACAAATTCCACTCTAACTGAGAGCCACAATAGCATTGCGACTTGATATATACCTTAACCTACGGAACCAGCCAGTGAACAAACCAACGCTTATAGTTTAACAAAAGTCTAGCGCCAAAAAGCCCACCCAGGAGTGAT